ACTAATCAGCGTTATACAAGATACAGTGTTTCTTCAGCAGAAATGAAAAATCTGAACACTTAAACAAATGCCACATTTTCAGGGGAGACAGAAGCTCAGCACATTTCAGTTTAAAAAAAGAAAATCCATGCAACTGTAGGAGACAGAACTCAGAGATCCACCCTAGATCTTCAACTAAACTGATCCTCATTTTTTCATTCTGAACACACAGAAGACTCACACAGCTCAACAGCAGCCTGCGGATGCGCAAGGCCTGGAACTATCAAAGTTCTTCAAAGGCGCCAAACACGGATAGGGTGTAGCCATATGCTTCAACCTACAATGGATTTCCAAAAGGACTTCAAATTCCCTTCCCCAAAATGGTGAGGGGGTTCTTAAGGGAACTAAGGTGAGAGAGGTAAGGCGAAAGGTCCTGTGTGGACAGATAAGAGGGCTGAAAAATGTTAACGGTAAGGATAAGGGTACCCAGTCTCTTTCTGCAGCAAGCAGGAGTCACCAGTGAAGTTCTGCAGCAATCTGTGCTCAGACCTCAGCTCTGTGACACTCACATGAGATCAGGAAGGGGTCCGAGCAGTGCGCTGAGGAACGCTGCTGATGGAACAGCTATCTGGGTAACAAGGATAGGATGTGAGGAATTACAGACAATCCTGTGAGGCTGAGCTGTGAACTAACAAATAAACACAAGGGGCAAAAGATGTACAAGAGAAAGGTACAACCATGACTTCATGCAACTAATGCACTCCAAAACAATCACACACCAGCATGTCTTAATGTTACAAATTCACATATCCAGGAAACTACCTTGGAATCCAGAAAGCTAATAAAATGTTACAAATCATTAAGAAAATAAAGCATGGTTACGCCACTACATAACACCAAAGCTCACCTACGTGTTGAAAACTAAGTCACCAAACAAAGGAGCCCAGACAAGAACAAAGAGAATGAGGAAAATCTCAAACAACCCGAAGAAGGCCTACAGACATGCAGCACACCTGACCACAGGTCACGGTGCCTGCAATAAGGTCCCAGGGGGCTGCAGACAGATCAGATAAGTATTTGGAATAGAAAGCCACCAGACATTTTGAGAAAGGCAAAGGGTGTACCCAGCTCCAGCAATCCCCAGCTGAGAACAACCAGAGTCTCTGAGAGCACATATAGAGGAGGTTCTACATAAGGTCATCATGTTCTTATTTTTCCCTGCAGAACATATTTTTTTTAAAAAAGGGCAACACCACACAGAGCTCACAAAATGGTAACCGCTGCTTTTTAAAGCTCTGAGGACAGCCATGTTCTGTTCAGATCCATACCAAGACAGGGACAGGGTAACAGGCCCAGTGGTACTGGGGTGCTTGCCTATGAGGTATGGAGCCCATCAGCCCACAGAGCAGCTCAGAGGGGCAGCAGGAGGTCAGCAAGAAGATCTCTGCTTTTCGTGGGGTGGTAGACTGGAAGGTTATACAGCAAAAAGCACCCTTATGCTTGGGAAGAGGGTTTGGAGGAATCAGAAGAACTGTATCTTTGTATACTAGATGTACATATCCCAGGTTCTCCTGCTTCCCACAAAAGGGATGCGAGTCAGAGAAGCACATTATAAATGCACCCATCTTCACTCCTCCTCAGTGAATTTTCATGTTTGATTTCAGTGAGCCACAAATTAACCTAATGTATAAGTCAACCTGCAAGAGCTCTTCTCTGCAATGGCACAAGGCCACTTTCTGTCAGAGTAGACAGGAAGGGAAGGGGAGCATGCAGAAGCATTCAGAGGCATTTCAGAGGTGTTGCTGAGAGATGCGACCAGCTGAGCGTCCTGTGGCAGCATTGCATCCTGTGTGGCCATTGCACTGGACTAACCCTTGGTAGGTTCACTGCAGCTGCTCTTCCATTTTTATATTTGTTACATCTTCTAGAAGCTGTCATCTACTTATGAGAGTCATAGGACCTAGCACATAGCATCTGCAGCTGGTTGTATTTAGTGTTGCACACACAATATTTTTAGAATGGTCTACAGGCTTCTGAACAAGTGGGACTGTTGTAACTACTACTCAAGATAACTCCCAGCTGTTCTGCAAAACAGCAAGTGAATCAAATCCCATGCACAATGACATACACTAGACCTATCTTCAAAGTTACTTCACATTTCATTCATCCCAGTCCTCTAACCACAGCATAGTTTAGAGCACATTGTGTCAGTTCACACCATCTGGATCTGCTACCCCTTTCAATTTGTTTTTGAGAATCTGTGAATTAATTCAATAAAAATGTTTTCTGAAGTTTATTTTTTAATCTGAAGGATAAGCTCAAACAGGTCACACACAAACTAAAGAATTGTCTCTTTTTGCACAGTTTTGATATTAAAAAAAATTGACTTGATAAGATACTGCTCTAAGTCAACACATAGCATTTTGGAGGAAAAAATCCTAAACTTGCAAAAATATTTCAGAAAGCACCCACTAAGCACACTGCAATGCTTTCTAAGCAGTGATACAATCCGTAAGGCAAGCATTTTATTTTAATGTCATTTCTGAATGTCAGATTTTTAAAATAAGAAACACTGGCACAGAAAATCTATATCCAGTTAGCACAGGCGTACAGAAAAGGTTTCCTGAGTCACCAAGTCTCTCTTTTAATACCACAGCCAAGCACATGACAAACTTCCTCGATATATCTTTAAGAGGCAGTCAGGGGTCCTGCTTCCATTCCTCCCATTTGAAGGTCATTCCAGAACCTCACTCCATTTAGGGAAGGAAACCGTCTCAATTCCTGCTTAAGTTTATTCATGCCAGTTTACATCCATTTGTTCCCATGCCAACATTGTTCTTTAGTTTAAATAGCTCCTCTCCTCTTCTAGTGTTTACATCCCTGCTGTATTTGCAGATTGGAATCATATCCCCTCTCTCAGGCCTCATTTGCTTGGCTAGAAGGGCCTGGCTTTTCTCACCTCCTCTGGTAATGCTGCTGCTGCTTCTCCCCAGTCACCCTCTGCACCTGACCCACCTGAAGCACCCGTCATACCCCAAGAGCTCTCACCTATCCCACCAGTCCTTCACCACCACATTCACCTGCCCACAGCAGTAGGATGGCAGCAGCGTGGCCAGCGAAGAGCTATCACACCCAGCAAGTCTCCTCCTGCTATGCTGCTCCCAGCTGCAAAGTTCCACTCACAGTAGAGCAGACGAAGGCAAAATCTTGTCTTTGCCCACAGGAGATCTATATACAATGCAATAAAAATACACTACAGTATTGTGTGTTTTCAGCATGGATTCCAAGTTTAATCGCACATCCTAACATAGAGCTTCTGAACAGTATGGATCTTCATCTGACAGAGGTGTCATCCACTGATTATTCACCATCACCTACCAGTTACTAGGATTTGTTTCAGTCTTTGCCCAGCCTCTGGTAAGAAATCCTTACAGCAGGCAATTTCTAGTACTCAAATCTCTCCTAACCAGCCCCCCAAATCACAACTCCCTGCAGCTCCAATGCTCAGCAGTACTGCTGAAGCATCTCCTAAGGAAAGCATTGCCCTCCTGATAAGAAAGGATAGTAGAACCCAAAAATGAACATTTTGGGTCACTGATTCCTGACTTATTTGCAAAAATGGAAAAACAAGAAAAAGAAGTAATCCAAGTTTCCATAGTATGCATCCCCGTGTTCCTCCTGAAGAGTCCTCTCTCTTCATTTCTCTAAACAGCAGAAAAACAAGAACAGAACCCAGAAATACTCCATCAAACACTCATCGCTGCAAGGGAAAAAACAGAATACCCACAAACCTAACGTGGCTGCTCTACACAAGGAAGTTACTCAGCCAAGATTTTGTCACAAGGTCATCATCATAGGAGGATGTCTCTCCTTTTAAGTGCCAAAACATCTGCACACATTTCAACTAAACTTAATTAAGGCTGGCAGAAAATAGTTTCAGACACAAGACAGTCAACTCATTCAGGCTTTTCAAAAGTGCTAGAGCATGAGATGGCAGAATGGTGCCATATATCAGATCTAGAATGAACTGGAGACACACATCAGCAAGCCAGAGGACGCAGCAAGCCTGCAATCAGCAGCCTGTATCTCTGCTCTGGGATAACGCAGAGGGTCTCAAACAAAGCCCTGTAACTTGCTGCAGGTACTGGTATCCCACACAACTTGCTGCAGACATAATCACCCTGCACAATCGCCAGCAGCTTGCACAATGCCTACTAGCAAACCAATACTGAGAACACAGTCTGGTTTTCACTTAAAGCACAGAATCACAGTCATTCTCCCTAACAAGCAGGAGCTGGCCAAGAACCTAAAGCACAGTGATCAAGCAGGCACAGCAAGCAAGTACAACTACAAATCATGACACTTTTCATTTTATTTCATCTGCCCAAATTCTCTCTCAAGCCGCAATGGAAGCGGCTTCACCGTTGTCACGAGACCTAAGCTAGGAAGTTCAGAGAGAATTACACCAGGTCCACATTTTGTTCTGAGGACTGTTTCTTTACATACTCCCATTCACAATCCTGTGTACAAACCTCAAGTATTATTTAACCGAGCCGAACTTGCAAAAAGCGCAGTCTAACATCCAAAAAAATTATAATAACAACTACACTAGCTACTTCTACAGGCACTTTACCCGCTTCCCATACCGTTTTACCTCCCCACACCCAACAAAGCGAGATCCACCGCAGCTCCCTAGCCGTGCAGGAGGGAACGCCGGCACCGCGCTGCCGCCCGGGCTGCCAGCAGCCGCGGCAGGAACAGCAGCTCCGCGCTCCCGCTCCGCCCTCGCCCCGCCGGCAGAGAGCCGCGGGCTGCAGCACACCGCCTGCGGGCAGGGATGCGGCCCCGCACGGGCAGCGGAGCTCGAGCAGCGCCCGCCGGCCGGGCCCTCCTTTGTGGGGCTCCGCCGGGCGGAGCGGAGCCGCGGCACCGCAGGCGGCCGCGTACCCGGAGCCCCGCCGACCCCGCGAGACGCGCCGCGCCGCCCGGCCCTCCCAGCCCTGCCGCGGAGGAGAACGCACCTGACGCCGCTCCGCTCCCGGGGCGCCCGAAGCCCGCAGCGGGATGCAGCCAGCCTGCCGGAAACGCTTCCCAGCCTTACCCAGGAAACGATTCCGGCCGCCGGCCGCCGCCGCCCCTCCTCTCCCTCCTCCCTGGCCGCCGCCCAGCGCCGCGGGCCGCAGGGGACCGGGCGGGCGGGGCCGCCGCCGGAGGCGCCCCGGCTGGGGGCGGCGGCGCCATGTTGGGTGCCCGAGGCTCCCACCTGCAAGGGGACGCATCGGGGCGCTCCCGGCCGTAGAGGAGCGGTGCGGGGTGCGTTCCGAGCGCGGAGAACGGCCAAGAGGGCCAGTCCTGAGCCTCCCTGCTCTAAACACGCTTGCAGCATAACAGGTTAGGGCTGTGAGTCCCTGGGTGCATCTTGAGATGCAGCAGTAGGATTCACAGCGACGCAGCGAGTAGCTAATAGTGGGGCTTAAACGAGTACACTAATGGGAAACTCCTTCTCTTTAAAACCTTAGCAATTATTTAGGGGGGGTTGTCTGTTCTGTCAAGGTTTTGAGGTTACGGGGGAAGAAACTGCTCAGTGCTGAAGCAAAGATTTTAACGTGCAGTAATATTTGAGTGGAAAGCATGCAACCACGAGCACATCTTTCACTCTGACACCTTCTGATAATCTCAGGAAGACTGTGGAACAGCAGATGCAAAGCAGTCCGTATTACAATACAGTGCTGTTATCAGAGTAACCAAACGTGCACTAAGAGATCAAAGAAAACCATTACAATAATGAAATTATTGTAATGGCCGGTCTGATTTTCTCTTATATGAAAACACATTTAGCAGTCCTATTAGAGTGCCCAAGTCTGCTTCAAAACCTACAGCAGTGTTTCTAATGATGAACCTATTTATCTAGAAGGGATGATGATTCTTCTCATGCATCCCAGAGCCTTCAGTATTTTCTTTCATGAGTTTATAACTATGCTCCTTGTAACAGCAGAGCTTTGAGGATCTAAGTACAATTTAATGGACCATTAAGATGAATAGGAATATAGTATCTTTAATTTGAAATATTCATGTTTTTAGAAGACCACACTGACATCTGTCATCCTAAAGAACAGGGAACAATATGCAATTATAAGCACTGCAGTGGTGAAAAAGGAAAAGCAGCAATTAGATAAAGGTGCAATAGTTCAGCAAAGCGTTTGGAAATTATTCTTCAATAATTATTTGGAATTTAATAATTACTCCTAAATGTATTCTTCTTGCTCATGGCAGTACTGACATTTATATCAAATGTGGACATGATTTAGTCTAGACTTGCACAAAAAGAACAATACTTCTATATGCTAAGACTCATGTTTTAATTCATTACTTCAGATCCTTAACTGTGGTGAATGTCCAAAGAAGACCTTCCAAATAGTTCTAATTATCTGCAATAAAAATGTATCACTGTGCTCAATTCAGGAAGGACTGACGAGGTTCTGATGCACCCATAGGTGACTCATCAGATTCCACTGTCTGCAAATCAGGGTGCTTTCCTCTTCAACAGAGCACATCATCCAGCAGGAGGGAAAGCTTTTATGCAAAGAGACTTTGAAGGCATATTGGAGCAGAACTCTCCCTGGAATTTGCACTTCCTCTGTTCAAGAGATGCAAGACAACTATTGAGTTGCCCAAGATTATTATTGAATACCCTATTAACATGTTCTCCTGCAGCAATGGCCAGTCAAGATACTCACATATTCACATTCCTTTGATGAGAAGTGTAAAAGCACTGCATTGTGGTTTTTGTTACGCAGTTAAAATTATGATTAACATTTAGTTACATGGTCCATGTAATGTACTTTGGTTTGCAATATAGTAAGCAGAGTCATAAAAGTGAAGTGTTGAGGAAACTAAATAACAAATTTTGTATACATCCTAAATGGACAGCTGCTCAATACACTCAGACTCTCAGCAACATTTCCAGGTGGATATGCTGCCTGCGTAGGCTCAACCAGTCTCATCAAATATAGATGTCTTCTTTTAGAGCAATCTGATGTGTTAACTTTCCATGTAGTTGTGGGAATTAATTAAGGAATTGATATAGAGCAGTTATTACCTCTGCACCTCTTCATCTCTGAAACAGGTTGCCCATGGAGGTTGTGGATGTCCCATCCCTGGAGGCATTCAAGGCCAGGTCTCAAAGAAGGAGACAAAGAAAGGAAGACTGAAGGAGAATGCCTGTAGTTGGGGGAATTAATTAAGAATTGATACAGAGCAGTTATTACCTCCACGCCTATGACAACCATTTAGTAAAACAACATTTGTAAACATAACAGAAAGTAAAGAGACCTCTCTATATTATTGGTTCATAACAAAATATTTTCATCATCATCTTGCAGTTTCTATGTTTGATCCACGACTGCAAGTTTATTTTGGTCTAAGTCCATCCAACTTTACAGTAGGGACTGACTAGCCATACGAGTTTCCCCTGGCAAATAGCTGTCTGCAACCGTCCTTCCTCTGTGCAGCACAGATTTACAGACTTACGCTGAGATTGACTGTGCCTCTAAGTGCTCTCTCAGGAGAAGCTAATGGTTTCTTCCCATCTTCTTTTATATACCAGCTTTTTTACTTAAGGGTTATTCCTTGTAGGGGAATAGTCAAAAGTATGCGGTGATCCTGCCTATTCTCCCTGCAGATCAGATTAGGAAAAAAAGTGAACACGGAATAAGCAAGACTACCATCTAGCGGTGCAACTGCAGTTTAGTATTTCAGAAGAACCTACACCATCAAAAAACCTTTTCCTGAATATATTACTCCTAAATCCAAGCCTAACATGGAAATTATTGAGGAAAATTCTGCTACAGTAGGACAGTGATTTTATTTGGAACTGATTCTCAACATTTTCACATGGCTCATAGTTATCTCAAGTCTCCCCCTTAAAATATGAAATCATATGATTTTCCACAATGAACAACACTACACACATGCACCTAGAAGATTCAAATATTGAACTGGAATCACATTTTTTTCATTGCAGGCTTGAACATGCACATTTTTTTTAGAGAGTACAGAGGGTTCAGTAATCCAGGCACATGTGTGAAATCATGTATTTTTCTTGCTATTTGGAGTTCTTGACCCATTTGTATAGCGCTGGCACAGGTTGCCCAGAGAAGCTGTGGAGTCTCCTCCTTGATGATCCCAAAGCTGCCTGGACATGGGCCTGCACACCCTGCTCTGGGTGTCACTGCTTGAGCTGCAGAGTTGGACCAAATGACCTCCAGAGGTCCCTGCCAACCTCAGTCATGCTTGATTCTTTATTATGAGTGCTCCTTGGGCAAGCATATAGTGAAGAACCAGTTCTGCCATGGAGAAAGTTCTCTCCGTGTAGGGTTCTTCCCCATATCACTTACAGAGAAGCAATGACAGCCAGACATCAAAAGTTTAGGTAAGATTACTCCAATAGTGAAATAAAGCTGGGAACTGATCATTTTTTTAAATCATTCCAGGTAAGTTCTGGAGAAAGGTAAGAAGGATGACTTTTCAAATATTTGAAAAGGGGAACTACAAGTCTTTCAACACAACTTTGCAGGTAAGCTATCCATTTTGCACTTTTTTCTAGCTAGAGCAGCCAAGCAAGGAAAAATTGTAAGAAAAGATGCAGAGTTTCTATATCCTACAGCAGCTGCTTAGGCACTGGTATAGAAGACAGTAGGTTCTTTCAAAGCTGACATTTAAGCAAGCTTTACTGCTTTATGTGGCTCTGGCACATGAAATCCTAAGGGAGAAACTAAAGGTAGTCAGATGAAGATAGTAGCTCATACTTGCAAAGCTAAAATGAAGCTAGATTTTTTTTTGCCTCAGACATTTAAAGTAAATGTGGGAGATGAACTTCCGCTTTTTGATGGCCACCAAAACATATCATCTCTGATATTTTTCTACATCTGCAAAGTAGGAATATGAAATAGAGATTTGGGAATATCACTTGCTTTTGAGGCTAGAGTTTTTCCATATTTCGAGAAGGTGGTTGTTTGAAGAACACAAAATAAACCATGGCTTTTAAGTTTTAGGCAAACCGTTCGGCATCACCAGCAGCTGCTGGGTTTCAGTCCCACTGCTTTGGCACCTTGGAGCTTTCCCTGGAAGTACTGCACTGCTGGCTCTGTCTCCCAGTGTGTATTTGAGGTGTGCAGCAGTACAGCTCCCACTGAGGACATCAGGAAACCCACTTCTTGGGTCAGAATGACTGTCTCCATCATTTATATATGCACATATTCATATTCACTAACAAATATTTAAAAAATGGTGTAGAAAATTGGAATGCTAAGCTTACTAACAGCAGAGCTTTGTCTCTGAAACAAGAAAGATAAAAGTCCAGTGTTTAATGGTCTAAATATAGCCAGAAAAGCCCACACTGTAAATGCACTCAATGGGAATTTTGCCCTTTGTGTATAAACATACACTGGAAAGAGTGGCATCTTTTGCATTTATATTTACAGCTCCAGAATGTGATGCAGTCCCACTGTGGTTTTGATCCATACGTAGTTCTTCTCACCATCTAAATATTTTTCTCCATTGACAAATAAATTTATTTTGGCATGCACATTCACTAACTAAACAACTCCACTAAAACAGGTGAGGCTTGAAGGTCCATTGATGATGTTCTTCATAACTACATGTGGTCTGGTTCAACATTTCAAAACACTGCTTGTTAAACTGATATTTCTCCATCAGTGATGAACACTGTCTAAACATTTCTCTGCTCTCCTCCTTGAAGAATATGAAAAAATTCCTAGAGCAAAGAGGAAGAAAACCTCCATTTGCTCCCCTCTGCTGATGATCTGGGGGTCTTTGCAATCAGCCTTGGAGATGCACAGGTGGCACTGCATAGTGCTTCTCTGCAAGCAGCTTAGGGCAAGGGCAAGCTCAGAAGGGGCAATTGGACTTGTTTCAGTGTGTATTTAATATAATTGCTTGGAGATGAGCCAGGGCTAATAACCTTCCTCCAGTGGCATGCACTGGAGAGTCAGAGCAGTTGGGCTCCAGAGCAGCTCTGTTTCCCTCAGCCCATAAAAGCACCAAGTACAGCACAACTGCTTTTCATTACCATGCACTGGGTG